AAACAACTCAAGAAGCTTGGGAAATTTTGAAAAGTGAGATAATAAAAGCCCAGTCCAGCACAATACCAACAAAGAGGAAAAATAACAGCTCTCAAAAGAAACCAGCATGGCTGCATAAAGAACTCTCTGATAAATTGAAAGATAAAAAGGACAAGTATAGAAAGTGGAAAGAGGGGCACATAACTAAGTCAGAATATCACCAAATAGCCCGAGCCTGCAAAGATGAAGTGAGGAAAGCTACGGCTCAAAATGAACTAAGGCTTGCGACCAAAGTCAAAAATAACCAAAAAAGCTTCTTTCAACTTGTAAAAAACAAGAAAAAAGTGAAGGAAATGATTGGTCCATTAGTGAGGGAAAGTGGTAAGAAGGTGACAAGCAACAGGGAGAAAGCAGAACTATTTAACTCGTTTTTTGCATCTGTCTTTACACAAAGGGAAAAAACAGACCAACCTACCAAAAATAGTGCCACAAAAAACAGAATAGAAACGCAAGTTAAGATAGGCAAGAAAACGGTGAGTACCTGTCCAGCCTAGATGAGTTCAAATCACCAGGACCAGATGGATTACACCCCAGGGTTCTCAAGAAACTGGCAGATGTGATCTCAGAACCATTGAACTATATTTTTCAAAGATCCTGGAGCACTGGGGAACTACCGGAGGACTGGAAAAGAGCTGATGTAGTTCCCATCTTCAAAAAAGGAAAAAAATGGACCCAGGAAATTACAGACCTATCAGCCTGACCTCAATACCTGGGAAGATTCTGGAAAAGATAATCAAACAACGAATCAGCGAACACCTAGAGGCAAACAAAGTCATTACTAAAAGCCAACATGGGTTTGTCAAAAACAGATCATGCCAGAGAAATCTTATTGCATTCTTTGACCAAGTGACAAAATTAGTGGATCAGAGGAATGCTGTGGATATAATTTACTTGGACTTCAGTAAGGCATTTGATAAAGTAGATCACAACCTACTACTTGATAAGATAGAAAAATGTGGGTTAGACAGCATCACCACCAGATGGATCCGTAGCTGGCCGACCGGCCATACTCAGCATGTGGTCCTCAATGGAACCGCATCTACATGGAGGGAAGTGTGTAGTGGGGTGCCCCAGGGCTCTGTTCTGGGCCCAGTGCTCTTCAATATCTTCATCAATGATTTGGACGAGGGGATAGATGGAGAAATCATCAAATTTGCAGACGACACCAAGCTGGCAGGAATAGCCAACACTCCAAAAGACAGGCTTAGGATACAGGAGGATCTGTACAGACTTGGGCGCTATCTAACAAAATGAAATTCAATGGTGAAAAAGGTAAGGTTCTACATTTAGGTAAGAAAAACCAAATGTACAGGTATAGTGAGAGGGACCTCGGAGTCCTAGTGGACAATCACTTAAATATGAGCCAGCAGTGTGCTGCAGCTGCCAAAAAGACCAACACAGTGCTGGGCTGCATTAACAGAGGGATAGAATCAAGTTCACGTGAAGTATTAATACCACTTTACAATGCCTTGGTAAGGCCACACTTGGAATACTGCATCCAGTTTTGGTCACCACAATGTAAAAAAGATGTTGAGAAAGAGAAGAGTAACAAAGATGATTAGGGGACTGGAGGCTAAAGCATATAAGGAAAGGCTGCTGGAATTGGGTATGTTTAGTTTAATGAAGAGAAGGACGAGGGGGGCATGATAGCAGTATTCCAATATCTCAGGGGCTGCCACAAAAAAGAGGGAGTCAAGCTATTTTCCAAGGCGCCAGAAGGCAGGACAAGAAGCAATGGATGGAAACTAATCAAGGAGAGAAGCAACCTAGAACTAAGGAGAAACTTCCTGACAGTTAGAACAATTAACCAGTAGAACAACCTGCCTCCAGAAGTGGTAAATGCTCCAACACTGGAAGTTTTTAAGAAGAGACTGAACAGCCATTTGTCTGAAATGGTATAGGATTTCCTGCCTGAGCAGGGGGTTGGACTAGATGACCTCCAAGGTCCCTTCCAACATCATCATCATCATCATCATCATCATCATCATCATCATCATCATCATCATCATCATCATCATCATCATCATCATTATTATTATTATTATTATTATTATTTGGAGATTTTTCTAAAACTGTCTCCATGGGAACACACTCGCCAATAGCAAACCATTTCTTTTTTCAAAAAGTATCTCCATTTTGCTCTGTTACTCTATTCATAGCCATAAACGATAACAACAGTATTGCAGATTTTCACAAATGAGATAATATTCTCAAAGTTTTTCAGTTTGTAGAAAAGAGGAAAATTTCTATTGAAGCAATTGTCATATTGATTTGTCCACTGTCTGCATCTTTACTTAGTTTTTACACCCACTTGCTTAATTTATCAATTGAAAAGAGAAATAAAATCCTGCTTTTATTTATTTTATATATAACTGGCATTTATTACTAAGATGTATCACATTTTTAAATTAATGTCTTCCTAGCCTTTATTCTGTTTTTTTTAAGAAACTCCTCATTCAATCTTTTTAAAATCAGAAGTATATTGAGCAAATTAAAAAAAAACCAAGCATGTCTATATGAGTACTGTTATGTCAAAATGCAACTCAGTTTTAAACAAAATCTTCCGTGTAGATTTTTTCATAAAGACCCATCAAAATATCCAGCATAACATAAGGCTCCAGGATATCATCAGTATTCTTCACTTGTGGACTTTCAAACTCTCAGACAAGAATATCTCCCCTCCCCTCAAATAATAGTCTACCTAATTATAGTATCCAAAATTTCCCACCTGCTGAAACTTGTGATTCCACACAATGGCACTTCCATTGAGGGTGAACTTTTTCCCATCTGGAGCTTTGGATTCCATCCTTCCAATTTGGACCCTCTGGAAGGATTTATTGTGGAAGGTGACCACATTGAAGATCTCATATCCTGGGTCAAAATCCCCCTTCTCATCAAAAAAGATTTCATCTCCCACACTGTTATTAAAATGGGTGTTTCTCAGGAAATAGTGAAGCTGGATTTGAGGGAGAACAAAAGTAAGATCATACTAGGATTATCTTAAATTTGGGGTGAGATTCAGAATCTCAACAGAGCTTCTCTAGTGGAGGTTATCAGAATTGTTACAGAAGACAATTGAAATTGTGGAATTCACTCATTTCTTCATCCCATACAAAACAACCCATTTCAGTAATATCAAATCCAACCATTTACTCTTACCTGAAATATTTCAATAGACATTCAGTAG